ATTTACGATCACAAGGAACACAACAAATAACGAAGTCCGGTAGTACTACATGTAAACGAAGCAAGATATCAGTTTTGGAAACAAGAGATTTTTCTATAAAATAGGAGTTTAGATAAAGTGGAGTATTAAATGTAATAATTTTGAATGATAAGACAACTTTATTATAAAGAATCCTCTGTGTAAGGGGAAGCCAACCGAATTAACTTTATTATTCGTTTTAAAGAATATGTACTTAATTTCTTCTTTTTAAAATATGTGTTGAATTTTAGATGCACGATCAAATTATTGAATTTATTATTAATTATTATAATGCCGTTTAATACTTGATATTTGTTTACAGACTGTTCCCATGGTAGCCAACTATCGTTGTTCCCAGTCAAAAGATTCATGTCCTTCATTCGTCCGTCACCCAACGACCGAATATTGGAAGTGAAGTGTGACTTTGAACATTCAGTTATGATGATTCAGTACAGACGGTATGGTTGCCAGGAACTTTATTTTAACAGAACCATGGATGAGTATGCTGATGGATTTGGATACCCGCATGGAAATTACTGGTTAGGTCTTGAGCATGTTTACAATATCCTTCAAAATAATCAACAATTCGCATTAGTTGTTTTCGTCTATTTTCCATCTTCAGAACTTTATGGACGGTACATGGATTTTAATATTTCATCCCGCCTCGAAAATTACAGAATCTCTATTAAATCTTATTGGCCCGATCCAAACTGCGACCTAGGGGATTCTCTGACTAATACCACTTTCAACATAGACGGTAGACCCTTCTCAACTTATGATAACGACTTCAGTAATCACACTTGTCCAGGCCGATTTAAAGGAGGGTGGTGGTTTCTGGATGACCCCGTCTGTTCCAGAGCCAACTTAAATGGCAGAAGGACCGATAATAATTTTGAAGCCACTTGGCATTGGTTGGATAATCTTGGAAATAGAACATTTTTTTACGACGTTCAGTTACGACTTCATTGGTAATCCAGTATAGCTAACGAGTAACTGCATTAGTTTTTCGTCCATCTTACTGTATTTACGAACGACTGAGAAGAGGCTTCTGGCGAGTTATTTGTCCCTGATTTGGATTATCTAACGTACATAGATATGAACGTATTACATTTTAATCATGATACATAGCCTCGGCTTAATGTTACCTTTTAAACAGTCTGTCCCCCGCCTTTCGGAGAAAACAGGGGACTGTTAAAATGGGTCTGTCTATCCGCCCGTCTGCCTGTCTTTCACACTTTTTGGGACATAATACATTTGCTTCTAATTAAACTGGAATTTTCAAAATTGGTGTAGATGACTGCCTTGACTGAGTTCAGGATAAATATTTCTGCTTAGGCTAAGCAGAGGTGCGCAATTTGAATGGTCGATGCGTTGGGGCCATTAAGTCATACTGATTAAACTTGTTGTATAGTTTCATTACATTAATACCTTGACTAAGTCCGATAATGAGCGTTTTTTGGCTCAGGTTAAGCATTTGATTGATCGACTACTTTGATTCTAATTGAGTGAGAATGGTATGGTGGCTGATTGGTATCATGTCGTAATGTCATAATGTGAACATATTATGAAGCCGCCCTTGTCTGTGTGTCTGTCATTGAGTCAAGTGGTGTGGTTTCCAGCCCAAGCTTGTACATGACAAAGAGTAGGGTCGTCTGTCTAACCTCGTGGGTTTTCTCCGGGTCCTCCGGATGGCTGAATGGTTAGCGTGAGCGCGCTGTATCATAAAATCTGTCATTGAGTCGACTGGCGTGGTTTCGAATCCCCGGTTGTACGTGACAAGGAGTAGGGTCGCCTGTCCATCCTCGTGGGATTTCTCCGGGTCCTGCGATTTCCTCCCACTGCTAAAGACCCTACGCGCAAGCGAATTATGTAAATAAAATTAAACCATATGTTAGTCCCGAAATGACCTAGTTTGTGTCGAGTGCACGTTAAACCCCATTTCTCTCTCTCTCTCTCTCTCTCTCTCTCTCTCTCTCTCTCTGTGTGTGTGCGTGTGTGTGTGTGTTTGTGTGAGTCTGTGCATTCTAACGGATCGTCTTGAAACTTTGCGCACTTATTCCTTTTACCCTAAGGATGATCCCTATTGTTGTGTGTATCGCCTGCAGGCCACAATTCTAAATGGATCATCTTGGAACTTGGCATTATTATTCCTTATACCTAATTACGGCACCTATTGATTTTGGTGCATGTCCGAGCCCGACCACCAGAGGCGGTGTCACGCCTATATCTTTGTTAATATTTGTGTCTGTAAATTCTCTACAGGTCACAATTATTAACAGATTTGGTTCAAATTCGGCAAGATCAATCATTTCAACAACAGGATTGTACCTATTTACAAAGCGACAACCCGACATCACGACAACCCGACAACCCGACATCACGACAACCCGACACCACGACATTTTTACCCGACATCACGACATTTTTACCCGACATTACGACATTTTTAGTGTCGTAATGTCGGGTAAAAATGTCGTGATGTCGGTTAGAAATGTCGTGATGTCGGGTTGTCGCGTTATGAAAGGCGACATCACGACATTACGACATGATACCAATCAGCCACCATAGAATGGAGAGACTTGGCGTATATAATTGCATTGAGTAAGTTCAATACTGCGCCTTTCCTATAGCTGCATTACATCAGTACCGTGATCAAGTACAATAATGAACATTTTCTGTGTCGATGTTTAAGGACATGATAACTTTGACTCCAGATGTTTTATAATAAAATAAATATGCAATCAAAACATGTGTGTCATCGAATTACCTTTTCCTTTTGGCGGAGGGGGGGGGGGCAATGGTCAGCTCGCGCGCGTTGTATCATAAGGCCTGTCATTGAGTCAACTGGCGTGGTTTCGACTCCCCGATTGTACGTGACAAGGAGTAGGGTCGCCTGTCCATCCTCGTGGATTTTTCCCGGGTCCTCTGGTTTCCTCCCACTGCTAAAGACCCCTACGCGCAAGCGAATTACTGAAGTAACACTGAACCATATGTTAGTCTCGAAAGGACCTAGTTTATATCGAGGTGGCGTTAAACCTCACTCTCTCTCTCTCCATTTGGCGGGAGACATCAGCCCCACTGTTGGCTGGTTATTTTTTGTCAGGTTTATTAGTTGTGTAATAAGGCCCTCTTACACTTGTTATTTAGAGTTGAATCAGCTTTTCTATTATACAAGCTCCTGCGCTATACGGTCAGTGATGGGGATATGGTTTTCCCAACGTTTAGTCAAATTTCCCAAGCATGCTTTTAGGACCTTTTAGTCCTGTAATGGGACCCTCATACAATTGATATTTAGGGTTGGTCAGATTTTCCATTTCACATGTGCATACTGTCGGTGAAAGGATATGATTATCGCATCGTTTTAGTCAAATCTATTGAGTATGCTTTTCGTACCTTTTCGGGTACATTAGTTGTACAATTGTTCTCTCGCACGTTTGCTATTCAAAGAGTAGGGTCATATTTTGAAACTGACAAATTGTCATCTGGCCTTTCTGCTTTGTAATACCGTGTATTATATTTAATAAAATTAAATTAATCAATAAAGGTTTCATTTCAGTGGTAGTAATCGATGTGAGATTGTCGAGATAAATGAAATGAAATTAAATTAAATTCTATATTTCTAAACCAATCTGGATAATGAAAAGAGCATGTAGGCCAATAAATCTGCTATGGGGAACGATTTGCTATGATAGTAAAGTTTCCGCATACACTTCATCGATCTTTAAGATCACCAGAAAAGCTTCACCTGGTAAATTTCAACAGGAAACCGCTAACGTTGAAATTTACCTGTTGCAGGTATAACATTGACATTCGGGATCGTGTTATACTTATGGAAAGGATATGTTGACATAATTACTTGCATTATTTAAAATATTTATGAAGCTTTTCCGGTAATCTTTAAATTAACAAAGTTGTTTTTCGTGCACACCAACAAACACACGGGTGTTCATGTGATTTTAATGTTTTCTATTCAACCGACAAGACTATATATTTTTTTCATTGCCAGGCAAATCGCGATGAAACATTTTGGGGATCATAGGAACAGTGTGTAGTCGTTCGGATGGGACTAAAACAGATGCCCCGTGTTCATGTTAGGGTGTCTGTAAAAGAAACCTTAACGAAGAGTGGGCGAAATGGACGAGAAGCGAATCCATTTATCATTGACCATTTCAATTTTTTGCTTCGTCTGGCCACAGAAACCTATGGACAGTGACCTAATTTTAGTAAGCGATTACACGAATTTATGCCCGCCTACGTCATGCTCATTACACCCCAACATCATGAATATTCACCATGCCATGGTAGAAATGTAAATATAAAAACTCTTCTTCCATATTTAGACCAAAAAACGATCAATAAAAATTACACTGCATAAAGGGGGGTGGGCTATAAATAGAGGCACTACATTCGCCCATTATGTCGCGCTTCGAGCTGACCGGTCTCCTCTGGCTTGTCGTCGTGATTTCGATTCATGGTGTAAGCGCATCTGACGCCTTCTCAACCTCATGTTTTTTCCCCGCAGGAAAGTCCCCTGCGCTAAGATAATAAAACTAAGAATTGCCTGCGACATCACCATCGATGGGAGCGGATATTAAACACAAAGAACAACAACGTCCACCATGAGATCATAGTGTGTAAGTAACCACTATTCTTAATCCCACAGACTGGCACCGTTCAATGTTAAACCCAGTTCTTGACCAATAACAATAACATTACTGACGATTTCTATAACCACACGAAATCGCAACATACCACAATTAAATCTTGAAATGGGATTAAATATATCGATTTTTGTTATCTACGTGTGGAGAAAGGAATCTATACTGTGTTGTTAATTTGTCCTTTTAAAATGTTAGTTCCAGAACAAAATGTGGGAGGGGAGGGGTGGTGGATACAGAATGATAGAGTGGTCTAAATTAATGTGACCGACAAGCGCCAAGACAATGGTTTTTTTTAACTTTTATTTCAATATTATGGTAACGATGATAATTTACATGTGCATTTCAACAACAACATAACAAAATGATATTGTGCTACCGTGTTTAAACACATCAGTGATCAGTTTATGTGTTTAAACACATCAGTGACCAGTTTATAAAAGATTAAAATTAACATTCATGCATGATCGATCAAGCTCTTTTGTTTTTAGTGCAATTAGCTACATAACAGATGTTTATATGTTTTAGTTCGCATTTATAAATTATATAATAACATATAATTATTTAGAGCTTTACTTCAACATTCATATAAATATGTCCATTCTTTTTGTACTGACTCGACAACAGAGTACTTGTTTTCATGAGTTTTTGAACATGGATGGCATTTGTGTCGTCAGAATCAGTATCTGCTTCAGAAGCTGGTGCGCGTCCAGAACAGCGGAATGAAGAGGTGTAGTTGAGGCATGCCGCAGTCGGCAATCCAAGCTGTTGCGCCGCAAACACTGTAACACGGCAATTCAGACGAAACGGAAACATCATCTGATCATCATTTACACCGGGCAACAAATAAATTGAAAGTAAGGCATTGCCACATGTATTGCATCCTGAAGGACCATTAAAATCTAGTTCCAGACAGATCTTGTAACCAGGGATACCGGTATAAATTATTTTACGAGTAGTTTCAGGGATTCTTGTAGTGACGGGGATGTTCCAATAAACCTGACCTGTTCGATTTTCGGTTTTCAACTGCTCGATTGTTTTACTTTGTTCTTTGATGAGACTGCGTTGTTCTTGGACAATATTCTGGTATTCTGCGATCTTTTCGTCATTTTTCTTGGAGCTGGATAACATTAGAGAAAGGTGTTCCTCAAGGTTATCGGCGTAATGGTTGCTCATGTAGGCTCTGCGGTCCTCAAAGTGACAGCCAACTGCCAGAAATTTACATATAACAAAGATGTTTGGACAATCACCGGTTTTAATATCAACGTGTTGAGCAATGCTCTCCCTTGATATACCAGATCTTCCACACAGAGTACAGACCACTGGGATCTTTAGGCATAACAGTAGTTGATGTTTGGTCATATCGTCATGAATAACATACTCCTCGCAGTGTGGGCAGATGACTGGACGACGTGGGCAGACCAGTAGGTGATCCTGTAGGCTGTAGAAAGTTATAAAATCTCCACAGTTGTATGTACATTCCACGGGACGATAAACACAGTTCACGACATGATCCTGAAATTTAAAGATACATTCACTGAACATTTGTCACATGTTACTATAAAAAAAATTATAGTAAATCCACGAAAATCAAAGCCCAAACGGGAGAATGTTTTCGTCATTACTTCTAAATATTATGAATGTAGCAGTTTACTAGACCATAACCTGTTGGTATACGTGGAGCAGCGGGTTCATGTCTTGTGGTGTAACCCATTGAGAACAATTCTGTCTAACATAAGCGTCGAAAAATGTATGGTCGGGATATGGAACCATGACTAAATGATATTAGTTTTTATTAAATGATCTAACATTTGATACACGGTACTGAACGAACAGAAAATGTGATCTGTTCTAAGGGAAATAACTCTTTTTATGGAGATCAGGATTCAGCCTAGTAATCCTCTCCAAATTGACGTCAAATTAAATCCCCAAAAAATCCTCGGCATTTATCTTATTCCGGTGGATTTTAAATGTTTATAACCACAATGAACTGAAAAATAGGAGATTGACCTTCTCGATTTGTTCCTTTGTGTAGAGACACCATTTCGTATGGGATTTCCCTAATCCGTGCCTGCAAACTTCCTGATTTGTCCCACCCAACAACATGAAAACTTACCAAAACCATTAGAAAGGGTGGGTTGGACACGGGGGCGAGAAAATCGTATACCGTGAAACCAGGGGAAATAATTACTAGTCTTGAGTCCAGAAACGCTGAATTCAAGTCTGATTACATCCTGATCTTTCCACACCAAAGTAATGAATATTCAACACACCCTGGCCGAAGGTTGGGACATGCAAATTGCTATAAACTACATGAAATCTGGAGAAACAGTTCTAAAGAAGAATATTTACCTCATAATCCCTTAGTTCACCATTCCACTGACAGCCATCCACACAGTAACAACATTTAGTTGTGAATGATAAAATCTCTCGTCTTATAGCATTATCTTCAAATAATTGGGTAGCAACAATAAATAACGTGTTATCTACAGGGCACCGTGCTGATGGTCTGTTACCCACTACATTAGCTATACACAAACTACAGAATCTATGACCACAGTGGGTTTGAACTGCGTCCCGTAACACAGCTAAACAGACAGGACACGTGTATTTCTTGTCAATTTCGGTATCAAAAACTGCATCATATCCTCCACAGGCCATAGTTAATATCTTTACAGTAGAAATAGCGAGATTAGTCCAAGTCTCCACGGTAGCAATCCAAAGAGAAGAGCGAATGAATAATCGGGTCTACACGGTGTGGAGTATCTTTGCTTAGTGTAAGGACAATTATAACAACATTTTATTAAATGGGTGAGAATTGGTAATCAACGTCCAAGCGATAGCTGTCTTTATTGAGTTGATTTTAACATCAACTCATCCCACTCAGTATAACCCAATTCGCCCCTTGAAGTCACGTGTCTGGTCTAAAACTCTTTGTTACAGGATTAACGGATTAAGTATGGTGTTTTAATCAGCTTGTTCAATTAATTGTTTGGCTTTTTTTATTTACTTTACACCATGTTAGTTTGTATGGCCAATTTAACAACATAACTGTTTATTTTGTAACTAATATTTTATTTCTTACGAAAATATGATATTAGAACAGGATAAGTCTATACAAACTCTTATATCATTAACATTCGTTATAACAGCCCATTATGTCAATGTTCTTCTTTTTAAATAACGAAAGAGTTTCCAACTAAGTCAATCCATAAATGGAAAGATTATTAACTGTTTTTTAGTAATAAGAGCAAGTTTATCTTTTTCTGCGCAGATTAGGTTACCGTGCGGTCTGACGCGGGCGTTTTAGGTCAAAAGGTCTGACATTGAGTCAGATGGTGTGGCTACGATTCGGCGCCTGTATGTGGCAAGGCGTAAGGTTGCCTGATCCACGGAAGCTTTCTCTAGGTCAGAAGCCACGGTGACTCAGTGAGTAAGACCTAGACTCACTTACCCCTGGGGGGGAGGGGTAACCGTGTTCGACCCCTGTGTTAACCGAGACATTTCATTGATAGTGTCGGATGATAGAGGGCCTGACAAGGGACAACGTATAGTCGTTCGGATAGTACGAAAAACTGAACTCCCGTGTACACATTGGCGGGCACATAATGAACCCTTGGCAGTTGGAATTCGAATTCAATATAAGAGTAGGTCGTAGCGCAGCTATCCAGCTATAATTTTTTTCATTAGTTCAGTCGGGACAGAACAGTAGGACATTAAACCCATTTCATTTCATTTTTTTTTCTTTTCCTTTTTTTTTTGGGGGGGGGGGCGGTTTCACTGTTAAAGACCCATACGTACATGGGAATTATTCAAATTAAAACTAAATGTGCCATAAATGGCAGCGTTTGTATTGAGTGGACGTTAAACCCTATTTTCCCTTTCTCCGTCTGCTTCTTGCGTATGTAAGTGGGCGTTACACATCAACCAGAAAACAAGCACAAAAGTTGATCATCAAGAAATAAAGTTAACTTGAATTGACAAAGTGGTCTGTCTGTGACAAGGAGTATGGTCTCATGCCCCGCCTTGTGGGTTTCTACTGGCCCTCCGGTTTCATCCCACCGCTAAAGATCCCTGCACGCAAGCCTTTTATTTAAATAAAAGTATGCCATGTTAGTCCGGATATGGACTACTTTGCGTCGAGTGGTCATTATATTTTATACTACGTATAAAGTTATATATAAATGTTATCTTCTTTATTAATATATACTAATGATTTATGAAATATGTAGACATTTATATTATTGATCGCTATACAAATCTTTCTGGGCGAATATTTCGTGAGGGCTTCGGTCCGAAACATTTTCCTTTTGCTGTAACATAAATTATCTAAAAGAAAATAGATTGAAGGTTATTACAAGTGTTTTGGTAAACCCCAATCAATGGGTATGGCTTTGATGGATTAGTTTATATTTGCCTGCGACACACCTTCTAATCTATCTTATATTATATTAATACTTAAGATACATTATGGGAGATTTTTATAAGGAGTTAGCCATTCTTGCTATAAGAGTTCAAAAATAGATGATGAAAGAAGAATATATTGAAAATTTCAGTCAAATTACTTTATTCTGAACATAGTTATCACCAGTGTAATTTTTGACTAGAAATGGGATTGAATTCCATCTTCACAGATTCGTAGTATGGCCGATCGTTTGATTGACAGGCATTAACTCCACCTACATAATCTCTGCTGTCGTCATATCCGATTTTGTGTTTTACCTTTTTGGATTTTTATAACAATTGGACAAAATGAGTGAGAGGGTAAATGTTCATTCTTGCTTATATTTTGGGCATGCATTAAATCAATTGAATATAGGACATAATATTATAATACAATTATGATAAATCTATAGGTATACCCAGTGGCGTCGTGCCTATTGGGGAAATAAAAATATTTTTATTGATATTATTAAGACAGAAGACCTGTCCGTCTTTTTTAGTCATTACACGGTCTCCAGGAATTGTATAATTTGTCATTATCAGTGTTTAGTTTATTGCACTTTAAATAGTTTAGATGTCATTTGTTAAGGCATCGCTCAACAGCGGCCTCGCTTCGTACACTCTATCATTTAGCCTCGATTCGGGAGTATGACGTCAGCGTAACGGTTAATGTCCGCTCACGACGCCATTTAAAATTAAATCAGTCAACGAAATCCCGTTTAAATCCAAGCTGAATCCAAGCCATCCGTGGGTCTACAGAGTTGATGTTGTGCTTGTTGTGTAAATAAAAATCTAATTTATAATTTCTATGACATCTGAAGCCTAAATAAAGACTTGCAATAATCAGATTTAGCTCTTGCATAATGTATGTTTAATGAAGAAATAGTTTTAGATTTTAAAAAAAAAAACAACATCGTGAGAGGGAGAGGGTATTACGGCCGGTTGGAAGGGGAAAAAAATGACTTACCAAAATGACTTTTTAATTTTAATCATCGTATATTTTTGGTGAACGAGTTTGAAATGGGAGAAACAGAAAGCGACATTGTAGATTTGATTATCTCTATTAAATGAATAAGTACGTGATAGACTTTAGCCACAATACTTTTTTAAAAAACAAAAGATTTAAAGAAAGGCCAAAATTTTTACACAATTACATGTAATGAAATTTAATGTCTTGCTTTTCGGCACCGAATAGGCTAATGAAAACGGGCATACGCAATGCAATGTGCTATGAGAGGCATTTGTTCCGTCAAATATTGCGCTTACATGTACACGGCACCTCGTGTTTCTGTCCCATCCGAACGCCTATACGTTATCCCCTGCCAGGCCCCTAGCCGTGTTATTAAAAGACTGATCTGTTAGTTCAGCTGGTTCTATCCATTTATTTTCGGGCAATGAAAAATTCGACCTTTTTTTCTATTAACGTTTAGAGAAAAAATATAACTTAACTTATTTCTATAAGATCCACACTGCCCGAAAAGTATTTTCTCGTATTTTTCTTGTCCACTGCATGCCCGAAAATATGCCCGAAGCTCTCTTATGATAGGTATGCCCGAAAAAACGGTATTGATTTCGGGCAATTTTTCTCTTATGCAGTGCTTATTTGATGTATGCCAAAACCCTTTATACCAGAGGGTAAAGCCATTTTGTAAATCCGTCTGAACAATCTGAAAAGATTATCAATTAGAACGGTTAGGGTGGCTCAGCAAACGATGTAGGAACGATAAACTAATTAACAAATGAAAATAAAATAATAGTGTGTGTATATTTGTAGGGCTGCCTGAACAAACTTTAATTGTCGCTTAAAATGTGTAAACAGAGAATTAAAAAAAAACAAAAAAAAAACACAAGGGTAAGCAGGGACTTTTTTCTATTGCTTACACAAAATCATTATAAGATTGTTGGTGTCTGTTTATTATTTATTTGTAGAATACATTCTGGAGCAGAGTATGTAATCATATTTTATGAGATTGTCACGTGATCGCCCCGGGTTGTCCGTTATGGGGCACGAGTGGTCAAATGCGAGTCAAAAATTCTCAATGAAATACGCATGTCTGCCTGCCTGTCTCGTTATGCACAGATTAACAAGATCCTTGCTTGGCTTTGTTCATTTGCATATAATGTAGAGGCTGGCCTCGAATTGCTTCCGCTATCATGAATTTGCGTGAAATAGCTTTATTTAACGTCCGCTTCCACCGAAGTGATATTAAATAAAGCTATTTCACACACATTCGTGGGTACCCACGATGTTGACTATTTCTATTTATAGCCCCCACCCTCTGCCAGTCCGTGCTCATTCTGTGCCAGTTTTTGGTACATTGTCATGGCTAATGGGCGGAAGGATAAGCGAACTAAAAGCTTTGTTACGGTGATAGGGTTGGCGGTTAGTTTCCAGTATACTAGTATGCTGCTGATAACGGCCCAAACTTACGCAGAATAATTTTTCCTGACATTTAAATATGAAAACCACCCTTCAAAAGTAAGAAAATCTAATATTCTTTACGCGATAGAAAGTAATTTTATACGAATTATATACCGAATGGTAAATTACAATAGAAAGTTGATCACAAGTTTCGGGTCGGTACTCTTTTTATTTTTGTGTGTCTGTGCTCTTTTTTTCTGATTATTTATCTGTCAGAATCCAAACTGTCCACATAGCCAACTCAAACTTTTAATAAATATATCGAGATATTGATGCACTCTCTTTTATTCTTGTTCTATAGCACCCAATCCCCCCCCCGCCCCTACACCCAACTCACCCTTTGATTAATTATAACAAAACACGGCATCTCAAAAACACAGAATTGTAGAAGATACACAGAGATCGCAAAACACTGAAAAATTCGGATTTGCAGTGCCGGACTGGGCCCACCTAAGCTCATTAAAAAGTGGGCCTAAGCCTATAAAGAAAAAAGAGAAAGAAAAAAGAAAAGAGAAAGAAGGGAGGGGGGATGAAAAGAAAGAAAGAAGGAAGGAGAGGACAGGAGACAGGACAGGAGAAAGAAAAGAAAGGGAAAAAATGACAAACAACACAAATTCATCTAATGATAGTGCTCTTAGGTCATTCTGTTATCTAATTGTATCAGGAAATCAAAAATTTGTCTTCTTCTGCTTTGGTCTGAAATGCTTGTAAAATGGGTTTGAGGTTGTCAATTTTCCTGGGGGAGAGAGCCCCAAACACCCCCCTCGGACCACGCTTGTGACACGCCTTCGGCGTAACCGAAAACAGTCTTACAAGCACCTGTCCTCGACAGATGTCTATCCCAAAAATTCATGTCGTGTGTTTATTGTAGCCAATTATTTGCATTGATCTCGAATGCCTCTATTTGTCACACTCCTCGCAGTATAATCGTTCGGATGGGACGAAAAACCGCGGCCCCGTGTACACATTGGCGTGTACGTAAAATATCCCTTGGCAGTTCGAATTCGACAAAAGAGTAGTCCGTAGCGCCGCTGTCCGGGCAAAATATCCCTCATAGCATACTGTATGGCGTATGTCGAAGCAGAACAGTAGGACGTTAAACTTAAACCCCATTCTATTTCCACTGGGCGGTGTAGGGGGTGATCTTGCCGATTGGTGAGTTGCCGAATGGTCTAACGCCTGCGCTTTAGATAACAAGGTCTGTAATTGACTAAAGTGATGTGTTGTATTACAGTCTGTCTAAACTTGTAAGTTTACATCGGACCCTACCACTGTTAAAGACCCCAAAGCTCTAGCGAATTACTGAATAAAATTGTACCATGTAATGTTAGATACGAAATGTCCAAGCCATAACTTCGTTTCTCACATTTAAAGTCATTTAAGAGACAGTCGGGTTGTATTTAACAAATTATTACCATTTAAATATCAATAAAACAATTTAAAAAAACAAACTGAAAAGGTAAACGAAAAGTGTCCATTACATCCGAGTATTTTTAGTGCCCTTGGTAGGGGCCCCCACCATAAATAAATATCTCCAAATAGCTCGACAATTACACCACAATATTTATATTTATATATATACCAATCCTTAAATCTGTTTGGCACATTTATAGTCACTAAATAAACGGCAATGTTGTACTTAATAAGCTATGCCCATTGAACAATCGAGAAATAATAGACTGAAAAATGGTTCCGAGTGTCGTCCATAATATCCAGGCACTTTTGAGCAAAAAATAATTTACGTGCCCTTTTCTAATTTTGTAAAATAATTTCTAATTTTGTAAAATAATTTCTAATTTTGTAAAATAATTTCTAATTTTGTAAAATAATTTCTATGTGTGTAGATTATTTTTAATTTTGTAAATTTTTATTCTGAACTAAAAGACCACCCCAGTTCACTTACAACTTCCACAGTAAAAGGCCTAGTATTACTACTACTGGAATGCCCTGTCGCCATGGGAGTAAGACGCTGGCTCGTTATTCTTGAGGTCACGGGTTCGCTCCCAGTTTTGGCAGAGAAAGTTTATTGAGTTTTTCAGGCGTAGTTTCACCTTGTCAGTGGTGCAGGACGTAAGGGCTGGCAAGGGTAACTGTCTAGTCGTTCGGATGGGACCAAAAACCAAGGTCCCGCGTACACATTGACATACACGTAAAATGCCCCTTGGCAGTTGGAATTCGATATAGGAGTGGGCGAAATTCCCCTCACAATACACTGTATATGGTGTATGCCCGTCTTCATTTGCTTGATCATTAGCCCAGTCGGAGCAGAACAGTAGGACGTTAACCCACATATCATTTCATTTCAATTCCTTGTCGCCAGTTTGTTGATAACAGGTATTTCGGTCTACCTCGGCTATTGTTGTACTCCCATTTGACTTCGGTTGCACTTCTTTCAAACGCGTTGTCTTTAACGGGCGATACTATATACCGGAAAACAACCGGAAAACTACCGGAAAACACCATGTTATACTGAATACCGGAAAACACCGGAAAAACACTAAATACCGGAAAACACACTAAATACCGGAAAACACCCTAAATAGGTAACCCGGAGAAGGGCTATACTATAAACCGGGTTACCTATTTAGGGTATTTTCCGGAATTTAGTGTGTTTTCCGGTATTTTGTGTTTTTCCGGTATTCAGTATAAAATGGTGTTTTCCGGTATATAGTATTGCCTGTCTTTAACCATGTCTTTGATTACGCAAGACAAATCTCATAACGAAGCCTTTTTAAGAACTTTTTTTGGCGTAACGTCGTACAGGCGAGCTACATGACTTAATGAAGGTCACAGAATCGGCCTGCTCGAAAAAAAATAGAAATTGTTTTTCAAAAAACAAAATTGTAAATTATTTTACAAAAAAGAAATTAAAATACAAAATATAAAATTATAAGTACAAAATTAATTATAAAAGTTTAAATTTATAAAATAATTTATAAAATTAAAAATTAATTTTACAATATTGGAAATCAACAAATAATCTTACAATATTGGAAGTTAAAAATTAATGTACAAAATTAAAAATTATTCTATAAAATTAAAACTTATCCTACAAAATCCAAAATTAACAAGAGCAATGCTACAGCTGCAATATATGTGTACATTCCTGCTTTGATTGATATGGTATTTTTTTTAAAAATGAAGAGAATGAGATATGAAATGGCTGCATCGACTGCAATATGACATGAGGCAAAGAAGGCTAGGTGTTGGGTTTGTTTTGCCAAAATTTATAGACTAATTATTAACAACAAAAGTGGAAGTGAACCCGACCCAGAGGTTCGAGGCAAGCACCAAAATAAATAGTTGCTGTCTTTACGGCATAAAGAATAAATATGCCAAGCTCCCAGTTGACCCATTCAGAATTACAGCCTGTAGACGATAAACACAAAGATTCGGCGTGATTCTGCCTCTGGGCAGAATAGGTACAACACTGTTATTGAAATGACTGACATGCTGGATTTGAACAAAATCTGTTCAGTATTGCAACCTGTAGAGTATTTACACCCAAAAATTAACAAAAAAAGTGGACGTGACACCACCCCTGGGGATCGGGACATGCACCAAAATAAATATTTGATATTAATAAGAAATAAATATGCAAAGTTCCAAGATGACTCATGCAGAATTCCAAAACTGTAGACAAAAACGCAAAAAAATGGGTGTGGCTCTGTCCATGGAGGTTGGACATGGACCAATAAAACATAGATACAACCCTATGATGAAACATACCAAATTGGATCCAAATCTGTTAATAATTGCAACGTGTAGATTATTTACAGATAAAATATTAACAAAAGTGGGTGTGACACTGCCAAAGGGTGGGGGTGAGGGGATGGTGGTTGGATCATGCACCAAAGTTCCAAGATAATCCAATCCAAACATTGGACGTGGCTCTGCTTCTGTGGGTTGGGACATGTACCAAAATCAATAGTCCTTAAGCTATAAGAATGCATATGCCAAGTTCAAAGACGATGCATTAAAAATTGTGACCTGTAGGCAACACATAGATACACAAAGAAAAAATGGGTGTAGCTTTACCCGTGGGGATCGGATCATCCTTGGGGTATAAGGTATAGGTATGCAAAGTTTCAAAAGGATCTGTTAAGAATTGTTGTCTGTAGGCGACACACAGACACAAACATACATGGTGCCCAGGGGGTTGGGCATGCACCAAACATAACAGAGGTCATCCCTACGGTATAAGGAATAAGTATGAAAAGTTTTCAAGACGATCCATTAAACATTGTAGCCTGTAGGTGATACACAGCCACACAGAGAAATTGGGCGTGGCTCTGCTCCTGGAGGTCGGCATATACACGAAAATCAATAGTTACAGCTGTCCTTGGCTACAAGGAATATAAATGCCAAATTCAAAAATGATCCATTAAGAATTGCGGCCTTTGTAGGCAACACAAAGGCACACACAAAAATTTGGCGTTGCTCTGTCCCAGGGTGGCGGACCTGTACTAAGGTCATCCTTGGTGGGGTGTAAGGAATATATATATATATGAAAAGTTTCAAGACACAAACACACAGAAGAACGACGGCAATATAGTCCAAATTGGACATATAAAAACAGAAATTAGAAATTACTTTTTTCAAAATTAAAAATGCAAATAGGAAATCGAAAAAAAAAATTGTTCGTATTTGAGCTTCCGTACATAATAATATTTATTATAAAAATATTTTGAATAGTATCAAGCAATACATTCAGATAAAACAATTAATTATGTGACCAGATATATGTATATAAAATATATATTCTAATCATTCATAGTATGTGTTTAAAATCAATCATAAATTTCTAGTATGGTTAGTATTTTACCCGGCTCAGCGATGTTAACTTTGGTAGAACGACGAAAGGTGTTCATTTCTTCTATTTGTTACCTTTGTTCTCATTGTGAACATCACTATTTCCACTCTGTTGAATGAACGACTGCATGGTTTGGCTTGCAAACTTTGGTATTTTTCAGAACAGAACTTTGGAACTGAAGGTTCGTAATTGATATTAGTACTTCACACCGAATTTGAAAAAGAACCGTTATTTTGAAAAATTATGTCACGTGTTCCATTATTACTTTTACACCAAAGCAACTTATGGTACAAATTACTGACGGAAACGCATGTCTTCCTTCTTTCATACATAAATATTATTGTGCATTTGACCCTACCTCTACATTTGTTTAGAGCTTTGACAAGGTCGCGGTACAGAGAATATTTATACTGTTTTCCACAAAAATTTTAAGAAATATGTAAAATACTGCAGCCTCGATCGCGTTCACAAGCCAACTGATGGCGGCCTGGCCCGACACCGAACGAAATGTATCCGTATAAAAAATATGTATGTTCATCTCCTCTTTACATAACAATCCATTAGTCTATAATATACCCAAACATCATTCGTAACATTTGCCACACAATTTCCATCGTTGGATGTCTTGATGTACTATGGACGGAATTCTATAAATTCCAATAATCTAAATACCAGATTCTGTTCCTATCTTTCTTTAGTTCATTAAACAGGATGTTTTTAATATCACCACCTATCATATCGGTGAGTCCCACTGTGCAGTCTTCATCTGTAAATGGGTGTGGGCCTTTAATGACTATATTCACATTATTCAAGATATTAGATGGATATTTGCTTAATATGGATTTTATTCTCTTGATTACGCGTTGGAAGGCCGATAGTGGATGCCTCAAATGAAGGTAATAGTGTATCTGTATGATGTAGCGTTGATTTTGTTTTGATGCGAGTTTTAACGTTCTATCAAGAGATACAGTATCAAACCTTTGAGCGTCTTTTATTTCTAAAACGTAAATTGGCATCTCATGTGGTGTCCATAATAGAGTGAAGTTCCACACCACGTTTACACAGATGGAATTTTTATACCATTTATCTGTTGTCCATTTTGAAGTTATTTGGTGGCACATTGAAAAGTTTTTCATAACTTTGTAAAAGTATCGAGTTGTTGAATCACCAATTAAATGGAAGGTGGTATTTTGTAGAAATTTAATGATATCTTTTTTTTACTTTGGTTGATACGACAATTGGTTTGAGTCCATTCTCCATGTTTAAAATAACCAATAGGCCAACTCATGTTCCATGTTTGTTTGGGAGATAGAGCACTGCACTTTGGGATATTCTTCAAAGGTGAATTAGACGAATCTAAAAGGAAACAGTTTATACGACACTATTGTAGTACCCGTGTTCTTTTTTAAACTAAACTGAATGGAAATAATGACCCTGCCCCCCCCCCCCCAACACACACCTCGAGGCTCTGCGGTCATTCACACAGGAACAGACCCCCCTCCCCCACACACACACTCCCTGATCATTTTATTGCACACGCCCCTGGGAATACAAAATTTCTTACATACTTTATCACGTTCCAAATATAATTTTAACATAGAAATCATTGCTACGATCATTTCTGCACACGCTCTTGAGCAAACAGGATTTCTTACTTGTTCCCACATCTCTATTAATAATTTTAAACGGATTAATTAATAACAGTATTTGTTATTTACACGCACCAATATTCAATACTTTATTTTTAGTTAGAGTGGAGATGTTTAGCTCCATTAATTACTATCAACTCAAGTCAATAGATCCGGGGTTGCTGTAAGCGCCCAACGCACTGAGACACCAATTAATATTGTCCTTTAAATCAGTATATTTCTACGCGTGACGTCTAATCATATGGCGTGGAATAGCGAGTGCGTTAATTTAATAAAGACGTAGTACAAACTGGTGTATGCAGAATTTGTGCCTTTTAAGCCTTTATTTTTGTTTTTAATGATTTAAAAAAAATGCTTTAGAATTTAAGTTAATATTGAGAGCTAATTAACTCGCCGCCCTGATGCCATCACCCTCAGCGATAGTAGCGACGAAGCGAATATTTACTCCTTCTCAACAAGGAAGAAAATCCATTCAAGTCAAATTTATAAATATATTTTAATAGATATAGCTGTATGCAAGTTATCTATCTTTATATGTATCTGTAAGAATTTTTCACATGCGGATATAACCGGCAAAATTTGCATGTGAGTCCCTTTAGGGCCATTTGTCAAGAAAATTCCGTTAGTCACTTATCAAAATGACGACCAATTTCAACTTGGAAACATGTTGTATCACATAACTCGTTTTTAGTCGGTAAATTGTGAGGACCACTGCCAGGAAACCATTTCTTAATCTTATGCACAACTTTTACTGTAGCGTCAGTACACACGTAACAACCACACGAGCTTGCGTACGTAGCCTATCCAGAATTATGCACTCCCTCTTTTTTATGGTAAGGCTTAAATGTGGTACAAGATATCTTTCAGGTTATTCAAAAGTCCTTAAATCACCTTCTGTGGACTTGAAAATGTATACTTTGGGTCCATGGTCAATAAAATAAGACAATTTGGTGATATTGAATCGCCAAATGAAAAGAATATTCTTCCGAAAGTCGACCATCTTGAAAATGCCCGTGATCTTGGAAGTTCGAAAGGGCTTTTTGTGCCAATTTTGAAAGTCGAGTACCTCTTTAAAATATATCCCTGTTATATGAAGTTATCCTAATTGACCATATTTATAATTTTTATAGCACGGCTTTCGTGAGTTAACAGGTTTGACCACAGAAGCCATGGGCCGAGGTGTGAAACCTGTTGATGAATGAAGCTTGCTGTAAATGACTTGTAACAATGACACCTGCTAAACATGCTCCTTGTTTTTGCACAGAAAACCCACCTCACTTCTCTATATGATTTATGTTAAAACTGGCGTAAACCCGCAAAAGTGTGCAAGAACATTGCAAATGTTTACTTATTGCATGGTTAAGCGCCATCCAATTATCACCTTTATATAGATATATTTATATATTACCTTTAATTAGGATGGGGATGTTTTTCTTCAACATGATGAACTTTCTAAAACGAGAATAACGGTAATGTAGTGGTGGATCGAGATGGTGGGTCCCAATGGGCCCGGGCCGCCATAGATAACAATATACTAAATTAACTTATTATTCTGTTTATATTTTGTTGGGGGATACACTGTGCCTGACACAGTTGTAATGGTGAAACATATGACCATCTTTATGTTTGTCGTCCTGACTGTCTGCTATATATCGAGACAGCCTAACTAAATGTAAATTGATATCCCACTAGCTATAAATTTACCCAAAGCGCTAGGAGAAGGTATCCTCATCCTGTGGAAATGCGAACCAAAATCAGAAATAATGAAAAAGGCCTAGAAACTATAACAAGTATCTCAGCAAGAATGGTTAACGGATGGACGGGAGGTTGTGGTATGGCAGTTCGGTTATTTACAAATTAAGAAATCATTATGATTCTAAAGACTGATATGAATTGATTAGTATAACAATCGACTAATCGTCAATGGTATTTGGTACTTCGTTTGGGTTTTATTGCGGTTCAAATGCTGAATGGATTATCCATTAAGATCAGATTAGAAGATCATCAAAAGAATAATAAAACAAAACTAGATCTGCTAGGCAGATATTAAAGCTTTCATATTCACGGTCAGTTTCTGTCAGATGTCATGGGTTATATAAAGAATCTCAGCAAGGAAAAAGAATTATTAAAATCGACCAAAACTCGAAGTTATATACGTATATGTTACAGTCAATGTCTACAATCAGGCAATGTGTACAATGCCTTTGTACTTTTGTTGACCAGAATAAAGATTGGGACATATTATTCAGTTACAACAAGAGTGGTATTGAGCCTTTAAAATACGGATCATATCATTTTATTTTTATTTTAAAACTTGAAAGATATTCCTATAGTTCAAAGAGCTAGAATAAAATCACCTGGCTGGGACATCAGGTGTTTCCATATATCAGACATAATCAAATCCATGCTATGGACAAAATTGCGCAAACATGAAACCCCAAAAATGTCCGAAACTGTTCGTATATAACATATTGAATAGGTTTTATGTCGGAGATTTACTTTTTCCCCACCAGATTACGACACTTACAAGGTTCAGTCTAATATCTCAGACCACTTGAATTAGGTTAATAGATGAATTATCGATATAATTAACGGCGATGGCTTTATGATTTGGATATCTGTATTGAAACGGGCTGAAGAGTGAAGTCGAGTCAACTAATAGACTGCTAAAATATAACAGGAACCATTCCCCCTGGCCAAATAAAAAGATATTGCTGAGACCGTATTGCTGGAATCAGATTTACTTTCCGTTTCCAAATTTTCTGAAAAAATCGATCAAGTCAATTAAAACCCAGAAGGATCAGAAAATGAGTAGAAAATGGTTGGAAAAATGCCGAGAAAATATCGAACAATAAACTAAGATAACTTGTAATGAATCTTATATTTTTGGAATCGGATTGATCTCAGCTATTCGAATATTTAGATCAAGTTTTAAAAATTAACATAAGTAAAATGTTGTGCATTCAACCTTCGGAAATAGGAAACCAATTCACGAAACGGCGGCTTATTCCAAGTATTAATGGGGATTTTTCACTCGTAAATAACTTTGTCGAGTTAAATGAATCAAACTACTTTCATTCCAAATATCAAGAAAATCGAGCTTTTGTCCCTTATTTCTCCAAGGGGAGATAAGTTACAAAATTTCTAAAGATATCGTCTAGTTAAATGAATCAGGTCTACTTTTATTCCAAATTTCATGAAAATCGTGCTAATATTAAAGAAGTTGTTATATTCGTTTTTACTTCCAAAATAATATGTCAATGACATAATTTGTGAAGTTCGAAAATAGCAGATTTAAAGTAAATGTTTCAAAGTACCCAAAGAGTGAGAGAGAGATGGATGGGGTTTAACGTCCACTCGACACAAACTAGGTCATTTCGTGACTTACATATGATTTAATTTTATTTCAATAATTCGCTTGCGCGTAGGGGTCTTTAGCAGTGGGAGGAAACCGGAGGACCCGGAGAAAACCCACGAGGTTGGACAGGCGACCCTACCCCTTGTCACGTACAACCGGGGATTCGAAACCACGCCAGTTGACTCAATGACGGACTTTATGGTACAGCGCACACATGCTAACCATTCAGCCATCCAACCCCCCAAGTACACAAAGAAATATGAATATGTAAAATAGGTAAAACATTCCCAAACATGTAGGTTAATTCTTTCGTCATTAACATTTGGTGATTTCAGGTTTATAAAGAGTTTCGAATGTATTCCAAAGTCAACATCCATTCTGGGAAACAGGTTAAAGATTTAGAAAGATCCTAAAATTAGATTCTTGGATATAAGCTTGAAAGAATCTTAAGAAAAAAATTGTCCTGTAACAATTTTGTCGACACGAAAAACGTCAAAGTGGAAATTCAAAATTTTGAAATCTTGAAATAGCAAAAATTCATGCCTGAGCCGGGCTATACAGAAATGTAATAATTTCGGTAATAGGAGACGGATTCTCTAAACCACGACCTATTGTGTATGTTTTCAAGCCCATTAATGTGGATTTTTCACTATTTTTCATTTTCAATTCAAAATGGCGTCCATCATTTGCCAGAAATCAAAATTCTAAGCCAGTGATTCACAACCAGTAGGCCGCGAAAAACCATGTGATCCCAATTGAGTAATCACTGGTGTCTACTGGTATCTTCATACCTGTGTTTTTATTTATTTAGTTTGAGTCATGCTATGATGTGTCTATGACTAGTCTTTGTCTATGGTTGTATGCCGTCTATGACTTGCCATTTTTTTAAAAAAAAATTTGCAAAATTCAACTAATTTCATATATATTTAGCCAGGTGTGTTGCTATTTTTTCATGTGTTCCAAAGTGTGCCAATGGCAAAAAAAGGTTGAGAACCACTGTTCTAAGCGCTACATTTTATGGGCATTCCTTCAAGGATTCGGAAAATATAATTCCCTTGTCTGCAAGTAAAATATCAAAAAAGCCTTACCGATATATTTCACATTTCAAGATGGTGGCACTTCCGGATTGAGCTACAAACTCCATTTTTTGTGTACGAATCAGTGGTGTCGTAGCTAGTATAGAAAAAATAATTCAAGGTAATCTGACCTATATTTCATCAATTTTTTAAACAAATTTGATCCTTTATTCCTCCAAGGCGAGATAAGTTAGAAAATTTCTAATGACATCTTTCATGCCGCATCAGTAAGATCCAATTACATTCCAAAATTCAACAAAATCGTGCAAATATTAAAGAAGTTGTCAAGTTGGTCTCAAAGTTTCATGAAATATGAAAGCTTAACTAGATATGCTACTGTCCCATGCAGATATGAAAGCTTTCATAGTCATCGTATCTTAAAAAGAAAACAGAACAAGTAAAAATAATTATCAAAATCGGCCAAAAACTGACAAAGTTACAAGTCTAAATATAGTGAGAAACATTGCACCTGGGCAAAAATTAATCTGAAAACTAAAGGGAAATAACTGTATCGTTGAAGTTGGGTCAATGAGATCTACATACATTCCAAATTTATGAAAATCGTACCAATATTAAAGAAGTTGTCAGTTTGGTTTTACTTCCGGGACGAAATGTCACTTTAATAAACAAATTAGCCAACAACTGACTTAGTTATACCGAGAAATATTTCATCACTTCACGTCGGGTGTCACTGATGTTGTCAAGAATGTTATAACGAGAAACATTTCAACCGGGCAAAATTTTCTGTTTAACATTTCATAAGTTGCAGAGAATGTTTTGTTACCAACCGATTTTTATAAAATTTTCAAAATAAGCAACAATGCATCACTTTACATCGGATGTTACTGTTGTGGTCAAGAATGTTAAAAACAAAGAGGAATTATTAAAACTGCCCCAAAAGGCGTTGAGTTATAACGAGAAACATTTCAACCGGGCAAAATTTTCCGTTTAACATTTTATATGTTGCAGCAAACGTTTCGTTACCAACTGATTTTAGTAAAACTTTCAAAATTAGAAACTATTGTCCAACTTAATTGTTCTCGATCAACATTTGACCTGATTTCAAATATCTGCAGTTTTTTAAAAAAATAAATTGAATACATGTAATGTGAATTTAATAAAAGCAAAATCAGCTAAAATCTGACCGAGTTAAAAAGGGAAATGTTTTAACCAGACATCACTTCACGTCAGGTGTTACTGATTTTGTCAAAAATTAAATGAAATGGAGTTTAACGTCCTACTGTTCTGCTCCTACACTGGGCTAATGAAGACGGACATACGCCATACAGTGTGCTATGAGGGAAATTTTGCCCGGGCAGCGGCGCTACGACCTCTCTTGTATCGAATTCCAATTCCCAAGGGATCTTTTATGTGCACGCCAATGTGTACACAGGATCTCGGTTTTTCGTCCTATCCGAATGACTAGACAGCTGTCCTGCATCACTGACAAGGGGAAACCACGCCGGAAAATCTGGATGAACTTTCTCGCCCAATGCAGGGATCGAACACCCGACCTCCATCAAAAAGATGAAAGTATTATTGACTAAAGTATAACGATACTAAACCTTTCAGCCGGGTAAAATTTCCCGTTTTTACAAAAAAACTTGTTGAGTTATAACGATACACATTTCAACCGGGCAAAATTTGCTGTTATTTGTTACGAATTAAATCAGTCGAAAGGCATCACTTCATCAGATGTTATTGATTTTGTCAACAATCTTAAAGAGAACAGAATTATTAACTAGGTTATTAGTGTAAACATTTAAACCGGACAGTTTAATTTGCACAGTACCTGTGATTACCAACCGATTTTTACAAAACTTGAAAAATAAGCTCTCACTGACCAGCTTAATCGTTTGCGATCAACATTTGACCTGAAATTCTTCAGGGTTTTTTTTAAAAAATAAATTGAATAACGGGTATTTAATACAAATAAAATCGGATAAAATCTGACCGGGGTAAAAAGGGAAATGTTTCAACCAGACATCACTTCACTTTGTCAAAAAGATGAAAGTATTATTAACTGAAGTATAACAATACTAAACATTTCAACCGGGTAAAATTTCCTGTTTTTACATATTCACGGTCACTTCCTGTCACATGTCATGGGGGTTATATAAAGAATCTCAAAAACGAAAAAGAATTATTAAAATCGGCAAAAGAGAGAGAAATGGGGTTTAAAGTCCACTCAACCCAAACTAGGTCATTTCGGGACTAACACATTGTTGAATTTTATTTCAATAATTGGCTTGCGCGTAGGAGTCTTTAACTGTGGGAGGAAACCGGAGGACCAGGAGAAAACACACGAGGTTGGACAGGCGACCCTACTCATTGTCACGTCCAACCGGGAAATCAAAACGTCATTTGACTCAATGACAGACCTTACGATACAGCACGCATGTGCTAACCATTCGGCCATCCAACCCCCCTAAAATCGGAAACACATTGAACATACTACGGCCTATTGTGTTTATTTTGACGTCCATTAACATGGATTTTTCACTGTTTTCCATATTCAATTCAGAATGGTGACCACCAGTTGACCGAAATCAAAATTCTGCTCTGAAAGTTTTTTAGGCATTCTTCAAGGATTCAGAAAATGTACCTCCCATGTCTGTAAGTAAAATATCGCAAAAGCCTTAGGGATTTTCACATTTTAAGAACCCCATTGGAAATAAACCTAGTTTTATTTTAAGCAGGTTGTTATGGGTTATCCTCAAGAGGCTGGTCATCCATGACATCATTACTTTTTCTCTCATCAAAACTTTCTCATCTTATTATCATGTAACTTCATATGATCATCTATATTGTCATGTATGATATGCCTCTTGGAAAAATAAATAAATAAAGATGATGGCACTTCCGGTTCGATCGATAGACTTCATATTTTGTATATGTGAATCAGTAATTTCTTAGCTAGTACAGAAAACAAATTTCAAGGCAATCTGACCTATATTTTGTCGATTTTAAAAAAAAAAAATTTGATCCTTATTTTCTCCAAGGGAAGATAACTTAGAAAATTTCTAATGACATCGTTGAAGTTGGATGAACCAGATCTACTTACATTCCTAATTTCATAAAAATAGTACTAATATTCAAGTAGTTGTCATGTTGGTTTTACTTCTGCAATGAGATGTCAATGACATTATATTCGAATTTCGAAAATCGGAAATAGCAGATTTAAAGTAAATGTTTCAATGTACTCAAAGAAAAAAGAATTAGTAAAATAGATCAAAACACAAAGTTACAGCAATGTAGGTCAATTTTTTATCAGTAAATTTCAGTAATTTCGGATTCGTAAAACGTTTTGAAAATATATTAATTCCTAAGCCATCACCCATTCTTGGAAGGAGGCTAACCAGAAATGTACTAATTTCGTCCGATTTAGATTATTTTCATGCCGTTAATGGGCATTTTTCACTCCTAAACAACTTTGTCGGCACGGAAAGCGTCGAGGGCGAAATTTGAATTTTGGGAATATTCAAATACTAAAAATGCAGCCATAAGCCAAACTATCCTGAAATGTATTAAATTCAGAAATAGGAAACGATTTCAACAAACTACGGTCTATTCTGTTTATTTACAAGCCTGTTAATGTAGATTTTTCACTATTTTTCATATTCAATTCAAAATGGTGACTATGAAAGCTTAATAATCTTAACAGAAACAGTAAGCTTTCATATGAAATATGAAAGCTCAATGAATATCTGTATTTTAACTACGGTATATTCTGTTTATTTACAAGCCTGTTAATGTAGATTTTTCACTATTTTTCATATTCAATTCAAAATGGTGACTATGAAAGCTTAATAATCTTAACAGAAACAATAAGCTTTCATATGAAATATGAAAGCTCAATGAATATCTGTATTTTAACCGAACTCCATAAATATTGAGGGGGTCAACTTGTTTTTCATACCTTTGTTCTAGCATTTTCACTTCGGTTTCTGTAGCCGGAAAATTGATATAATCCAAATCATGAAATTTACGAATGTGTTGGCATGACAGGTGATCAGAAGGAGGCTCGCCACAATACCACGGGAGGTAATTATTGGCTGATGTATAGTTGCACATGTTTTTATATCCAGGGATTTCAGGATTAAGAGAACACAGTGTGTACTGTGTTATGTAACCAGAGATAAATACACCAAAATGATAAAACATATCATTGAATGATCTTTTCCATGTATACTGTAAGTGGCGAGATTCTCGGAGATGTTTTAATTGAATGGATACAAAACTTTCTCCTGACAAAAAGCTTGGAAATGTCAACAGATAAGTGCCATTCTTATAATCTGTCGTTTCGGAATCCATTGAATGGCCTTGACCTTGTATCCAGCCAGCAATATGGTCTCCACCACGAGTAATATGTTTTTTATAACCGTCAAACAGATCAACTTGTATTTTGATAGGATCCCCCATGTTAACCATGTCATCGAGTACATGTATCTTAACATTTTGGGGGTCAGGTAGAGAAGCAAAGTCACGAACGGGTAAGTCATTGATCAATTCTAATTCCGATTCCAGAAACTGTTCTGTAGAATGTTTTGGTCCCAATGATGGTGGGTACAGCACTGGGTTGTTTGTGAAACATAAACACGGGAAACCTGTACAGTTTTTATCAGTAGCATCAAGTGGCATATGTGGGTGTTCCGAACATATATTCAGTAATTCGCTTCTTTGACACAATCTTGGCTTAGTTCCATTGATATGTGGTTGTTTCGATTCACTGATGTTTTGTGATTTAATTTTAATGACGTTTCCTGGTTTTAATCCACTTTTTATAGGTTTGGGTGTGATCATGTTTAAATCAGGAAATGCCACTCTATAAAAAAAATGGTGAAATTCATCACAGCCATGTGTTAAAAAGCATCTAAGGGCAAATTCATCTTATATATATATAGCCATGTATTATTTGTGAAATTCATCATAGCCATGTGTTAAAACGCATCTTAGGCAACAGTGATTGGTAAATTTCATCTGTGTTAGCTTTGGGTCCCCACCAAGTATTTTATCAGAGAGTTCGAGTTCGCAGGAAGATTGCAGTAATTTAATGAAATGTGCGCAGATGATACGAACAATTCAAGCTCAAACTGACCCAAAAATTTTTAGTTGTCTGTTTAAATGCGCATGGATAACATTGCTGTTGGAACTACGACACAGGGGCTGCGAAAATAAATGTATATTTTAGGTTTTAATAAAATGCATCAAATAGTTGTAATGTTATTAGGTGGAGTTTGATGGCCGAATGGCCTAATGCGTGGGCTTGAGATCAAAAGTTCGGTCACTGGGTCAACTGGCTTGGTTATCAAATTTCACCCGCCAGACCCTCCACTCCTGACCATAGGATAAACCAGGCTGGAGAATCCCGAGAACTTTTCTCGTCCAATACCAAGATCGAACACTGGATCTTATGCATAGTGCGCCATTGCTATATTGACCGAGCCAACGTGGCTCGCGCTATCTATATAAACATATAGACTCTTGGAATAAGGGTGACAAAATAATTAATTATATCCACACTAAATATGGACGTATACAAACACAAAAACATGTGTCCGGAAATATAATTTGTCAAGCAACATATTCGCAACTCTAGAATGAAATTCAATTAATTCTGGGTGACAAATATTAGGCATCCCATAAATATACATAACGGTGTGTATTCTTTTGTAATCATATATCATAACAGAAAAGAAGTATTATGTTTCATTTAGATATCGATCATTGACACTGCATCTAATAACAACACAGAGTAAACAAGACAAAGACCAGGACACAGAGATAAAACACTGATATCGTTAGTCAAAAGCGAACTAATAAATAGGGTCAACTTACCTTCGAGCTGAATATAATATGAAGAGAACAAGAAGAAACACAATACACCGGAATAATCCGTTTTTGGTAAATCTTAACATTCCTATGCTGCAAAATTAAACGATTTAAAATGGATTCGGGGCAGGATTAACCATTAAACAAAACAGAATTTCTGCTTCATTATAATATGACGAATTTGAAAAGCATTCAATTTAACAATTATTGTAACATGCTTAAGGGTGAATCTTGCGTTTTGATTGCCCAATTAGACACTGTCGATTGGACAATAACGTACCCCTCTGTTTTCGCAATAGGCTGGTTGGAGAAGGTGACAAATCCAGCTTTGTAGGAAGAAATTCCTACCCAAATGATTTCTTCATTTTCTGAAACAACTATGTCCCTAGTGTTCCAGAAAAATTTTCCCCGCCGACCGGAGTTGAGCAAATTTTTTTACAGCATTTTGAAATTTTGACCCCCTGGGTCAACATAATGAAACTGAAAAACATTTATAACTTCAAAAATATCAATTTTACAGCCTAGAAATGTATTATCAACATATAGGAAAGTGATACCAAGGATTCCAGAAATGATATAAAAAGTAATGTACGACGTCACCGTGACGTCAGAATACAAAATGGCGGAACTGTGACGTCACTGTGATGTCAAAATTCAAAATGGCGGAGACGTGTTGTGAATAAAGAGTTATTGTGTCCCAAACTTTCCACCGTACATTTGATCGGACAGACTGGCGGGTGAAAAGAAAGATGGGGATCAAAAACATTATTATATGTCAAAGGGTATTCTCTTTATATAGTACCAAGACTGAATATACGCTAGAGAAGATAGGCAGTTTATACACCAACCAAGATAACTTAGTAGATAAACAAAAGGCTTTAGGCCTATATTGAGGCCTTTCCCATAACAAACAAACATGCAGGGCCTACACCATACATAAACCGGCTGGTTATGTGTCATAGCACAGACCTGTCACCTTCTGCATGCACATTGTCATGTATTGGGCACTGCATTCAATTATTTATCAGCCATGCATAGACCACGTTCTACTTTTCTAGGCCTAAGCCAGGACCCAAGCAGTCTATTGATTCTCACTATAAATAAATAGGGTCTTAAAAAATACTTATTTTGCATTTTCCAAGGCCAGTTGTACTAACTTCCTCCCCCGATTTGTCGAAAACATAATGTAATTTATGTATATTCAAAGAAAACTAAACATATTCTAATAATAAATTGAAACAACGGGGGCTGCCATCTTTGTTTCAAGCAATCTGATTGGACAATTGAGTTACTAGGTTTTACTGTGGCATACTAGGGAAATGAAGGAAGTTGCTAGGTTGTGCCATGGGTGTAACTGCTTACAAAATGAAAAGATTGGAATATCTAGTACAACAACAGGAAGCACACACATTAGTAACTACAAATTTGGTCCTAACTCAATTTTGATAAAAAAAAAAGTGAGTTACTAGGTTTTGCCTAGTGGACACATTTGCGCGCACGTTTAAGAACCCTGACAGTTTGAATTAAATATAAGAGTAGGCCTGTGGGCGGCTGTCCGGGAAATTTTTTCTTCATAGAACACTGTATGGCGTTTGAATTTCGATAGGGTCCCCCCTGCCCCCCGACTAGTTTTTTGTTTGTTTTAATCTTAATCTGTGCCTGTATATAGGCATATTGATTCGTATTATGTTTGTTTCTGAATGTTGAAATTTAAATAAAATAAAATTAAATTATATAACATAAGTTAAAACAATATTTCAATATATAATCTTGTTATGATATATAACCAATAATGGATACAAAACTATACAGTTATATGGGACAACAATCACTGGTTTATTATACATAAGCACGACGTTTCGATAAGTATTCTCTTATCGTTATCAAGCACAATGACATTTAGTAAACTTGAGGGTCTATATATATGTACAATGCGAAACCATTCTTATTACTAATCATTAGAAAAGTTCAACCATTTAACAGACATATTTAACATCAAATGTCCACAAACAAAACAACAAACTGAAAACTAAGATTTATCGTAAACCAACTCACACAGACCAGTACATTAATTATAATTCCAGCCATCCCCACTATATTAAAACAGCCCTGATATCCACCTTAGTGCGCAGATCTATCAACATATGTGAACCAGAGTATCTTGATCATGAATTAGAATACTTACGCAACGTTTTCTGCAACCTAAATAATTACCCCCCAACCATAGTTAATAGACAGATTGAGGCCACCCTAAAAAAAACAGCATAAGCAACCAACAGAAACAAGAAAATTTCCCTATCAGAATCACCCTACCATTCCATGGAAATCTCACTTACCAGATCAGCCGATTACTAAAGAAATCCAACATTGACACGTCCTTCTCGATCCCCACATCCCTCAAACAGATCTTAAACGCCAGTGGAAAACTGCAACCTACCACTTCTGTGCAACCAAAAGGGGCCATCTACAAAATTAGCTGCTCATGTGATAAGACCTATATCGGGGAAACCAAAAGACCAGTGGATAAAAGAATTTCAGAACACAAGTCCAAAGCCCCAACCAACATATCAGCCATAGCCGAACACTTGAAAGACCATCCAAGACACAAAATAGACTGGGATAAGGTAAAAATTCTGGCTGCTAACCAAAACAATAAGAAAATTAGGAAGTTAAAAGAAGCCATTAACATCAAAAGATTTTCTCCAGAATTAAACAAACATTTGGGACTATTTATTCCGAGGGCATATGATGAAGTTATCAAATCAGTCAATTACCCTACAATGGGTAACCATTAACTCTCAATAATTATTTTTGAACTTACAACACGTTAATCGCACATCACTATGTTAACCTTGTCCAATCAGTTTTAGCCCGTTATCAACCTACAACGCCTTAGCTCGCGATTTCTGTGTTATCCTAGTGCTATTATGCTGTGTTTTAATAACCTTTTAAGTTATTGTGATATTATGCTGAATTACTTTTCAGTCAAGATCCGGTGTTATAAGCCCTTATCAGTTACATACAAGTGGTCTAATGGGTTTTTCTCCCCCCCCCCCCCAGTTAACACTTTTAATTATGTATATTTTTGATTCCCCCCCCCCCAGTTATTAAATTTTAATAACATATATTCTCTGAACTTTAACACCTTGAATTGTGATTACTATGTTAACTTAGTATATTATTATTAGCCTATATTAGATCCTTCAAACCCTTGGATCAGTTTATTGTGTTATCTTAGTGCTATTATGCTTTGTTTTCATAACATTTTGTGAATGTGGTTTTATTTACAAGACCGTGTGTTTATAAGCTCTATCTGTTATATACTGTTTGTTTAATGTATGGTTTCCCCCTAATCATTTTTCTTTTTTCTTTTTCAATATCAGGGTGGTTTTAAGGTTCATGTACAACTATATCCTTGTCATCACACGGTGCTTTTCAGGTCTTTGATGTTAAATATGTCTGTTAAATGGTTGAACTTTTCTAATGATTAGTAATAAGAATGGTTTCGCATTGTACATATATATAGACCCTCAAGTTTACTAAATGTCATTGTGCTTGATAACGATAAGAGAATACTTATCGAAACGTCG